TGCTTTTTGTCAGTATAGTGTCCCCGTCACTATACTGGGGCGTTAGGACCCACACAGACTGCAGGGTGAGCACCCCCTGCTGGCCTCACTAACACCTCTTCCAGCAGCAACCTAGTTTTCTCAGGAGGTCTCCCATCCAGGTACTGACCAGCTCAACCCTGCTTAGCTTCAGTGGGCAACCAGTCTTGGGCTGCAGGGTGATATGGCTGCTGATAAAAGTAGGCTACTTCAAAATCTAAATTTATGGAAATGTAAATGAGACTCACAAACTGGACTTAGTAAAGCAGAGTGAGATACATCTGGATCCGGATAGTTTGTCATTTGAACCAGCTGTTATCTTTTGGGAGCTCTCAAGAGCTGCTTTCCCATTCCTTTCCTTTCTTTCTAACAGTTACCATAACATCTCTCCTACCAATCCTCATGTTTCTTTCTTGCCAAAACATTCTGAATCTTTCACATTTAGCTGAGGAATGCCTTACAGTACTGAAATGTGCTTCACAGTTCTGCTCTGCTCTTTCTTTCTCTTCATGAAGTTGCCCATTGTTTCTGTTTTCTGAGCATTTTGCACAGATTTGACCTCTTTTCCCAAACATCCTGTAGTGACTGCCCCATATTCTTCCCTCCCACTGTTTTCTTCTCATGTGTCTCTTTCCTGGCCTGTTGCACAACTGCGTTGTTTTCATCTTGGTGGTTCTGTCACAGACACATGCAGGTATTTGACAAGCTTTCGTACTGATCTTTTATCACTGTTTGATTACTTGCTTGCTTTTGATCACAACATGCCCATGTATTACATGATTACCACAGTTACAGTTAGCTGAAATTACTTCTTTTTGAATGAGTATGAAAAATGGCTTGGAATTGACTGGAAGACAGAAAAAGAAAAGGCTTTGAGATTGGATACAGTATACAGTCTTGAGGTTTGAAGGTTTGAAGCAGTGCTTACGCAGCATTAATGACAGACAGATACGGTGTTCTAGTTGGTTCCTAACCGGTTGCTAGTGTGTTGAATGTGATTGTTAGCGTGTTCAGGGTGGTTGTTAAAGCATTGGCAGGCAGGTGGTCACTAGGCAGACTATTGCTATGGTGTTCTAGGTGATTACTCGGGCATACAGGCAAGAGGTAGAGTATAGCACACTAAGGCAGAAGAATAGTTTTGTCAAATTATTTTTATATACATTCATAGAGTGAAAAATGAGACCCTTACAATTTCAGAACTCCACATTTTTATAGCCACATTTTCCGTTTAACGTTGACAACACAATAGGGAAAAAGTGTCGCAGAGAGAGAGAAAAACAAATAAAAATGTAGGTTGTACAAAAATAGCCTACTAGCTATTTTTATCTGTCTTGTCAAAATACTAAATTCGTTTGACATTTTTCTGTTAAACAGTAGGAAAAGTGTCGCAGAGAAAAATAAATAAATAGGACATCTTTCATTTAAAATTATAGGCTAAGCAAAATATAAACAAAACTGAGTTGAATGTCCTTCAAGGACAGCGCATCCACACTTTGCTCCATCCTTATTCTGCTCTGTCACTCATCGACAACCTGCCTGTTCTGTCTGAGGGCCGTATATTTACCACAGGTACAGCCTGCTCTGAGCATCGTTATGCACATGCTGCGCACAGACCACGCAAATAAAACGCGTGACGTTTAAAGCATGCGTGCAGCGCGTGCATAACAGTCCTGAGCGCAAGCTGTACCGGTGGTCAATAAGAATAAAGCGCAGATATGCTGTTCTAAATGGACGTCGGGAACGGGATATTGTTAGACCGCCTGCTCCCATTCAAATTACACCAGAGTTAGCGACTGCTACCGCGTTTTATTCGGGAATTTAATCCCGCGGAGCAAAAAATCCGGTCGGGTCCCACACAGATACTATTTAAACTGAACTGAGCTGGATGATGACATCACTGAATTCAATGCAGACCTCTAATGCAATGCAGGGGAAACCAAGGCTAGTTTTCTCACATTTACTCCAGTGAATGTTTCTCAGAGGATGTTTAGTTTACATAGTCACTTTCTGCATAGGCATATGCATCCCCCCACACATCGCTTTAACACACGTATACAGGGAAAATAAAGTTACGATTTTTTATTCTGGTTTCTTATGGATTCTTATTTGTAGAAAAGAAAAAGTAAGAAAAACAAGCATTTGTGTATTTGTACTTTTCACTCAAACCCTTATAGAGATCACTTGTGACAACTTCCACATGTAAAAAAAAAAGAGCCAGTTTTCACTAGGTTTCTCTGCCTAATGGTATTAGTCTATTGGAGTTTCCCTCCTGTTATTAAGATTACATAGGCAATATTGATATTGCATATTGATTATTATTGATTTTATGTTCATATTTCATATGTCTCGTGTAAGGTTGTGCTGGTGATGATGGGTACAGGTCTATTCATGTTTGGTATTCCTATGAATGTGCAATCAGATGCACCCACCTCAGCAGAGCAGTTCACCCCATTCTGGCTTGGGATCCTGGTATGTTGATTTGCACATCTCTTTTGACTATATTTGCATGTTTTGCCTTGAAAGGTCTTTAAGATCTTTAATGGCTTCAAATAAAACTTCTAAGCCACAATCCATTGAGCTACACCTCTATACAACTAGCTTTATGTAGGCGGGGGGGGGATGAGTGAAAAATGCATTGTGTCAGTAACCAAATAATTTTCATTAAATTAACGGTAATAAGTATAATACTGGTGATGCGAAAAAATTACACAGCAATAAAAAAAAAAATGCAGAAAGAAACTAATATTGCCTTGCTTGAGCTGCTAACACTGAATACCAGTAAATTGAACTGCTTTCCTAGTAAGTTAATTATCTTCCTCAGCACAGCACATTCTAGAGATAAGTGGTTCATTACTGGTCCTTGGGACCTATGGCTCTGCACATTTTGTCTATTTTATCTGACACACTCAAGCCCTGTTCAGACTCTCAGTCCAATTAAAGCACTAAGCCCCATGAAGCTGGGGTTTACAGTGAATTTAGAACAGCTAAGGGGTGTTGTTAGGCACACATCACTGTAAACCACGGCTTCACAGGGCTTATTGCGTTTATAAAACGGTTACCACACAATGGCAAAATATATGTTACTTTATTAAACTTAAATCATGAAATGCCATCCTTCCACTGTCCTTGACAGTGACAGTAAAGGGCAGTAGAATGATCCTGTAACATGCCTCATCTGATGGATACTGCAATTATTATTAGTAGTAGTAGTAGTAGTAGTAGTATTATTTAACCAATATATGATATTTCCTCACACACATGCATCTGCTTATCTCTCAGCAGAGTAGTCTTGTAGTTTAAACCAGTCCGGTTTGCAGCATAGCGTTCATAAGAAGAGTGTCATTAAACAGTGTAATCTGATGAACATACAGTACTGTAGCTGAAAAAAAAATATTTTAAATAATATTCCCTCTGCACTCCAGAAATTGTGGGCTTCCACACACACATCATTTAGGGTTAAAATAACTTTTGTCAAACATACAACATACCAGAAACATGGTCCCACTTTTTATTAAGTGGCCTTAACTACTATGTACTTACATTTTAATTCATCATTTGGTACAATGCACTTATTGTGTAAATACATGTTTTTACATTGTACTTATATCTTAAAAATACCTGCATGTAATTACATCTGTAATTAATTTCTGTAATTACATTTATAATTACACTGTTGACCCATCCCTTACACCTTAACCCACCCTTAAACCTACCCATACCACCAAACCTGTCTCTAACCTTACCCGTATCCCACCTCAGTAGCAGCAAAAGTGTTTTGCAATACAGTATGAACACAATATGTACATTGTACTTATTTTTTGATGTAAGTACATGGTAGTTAAGGCCACTTAATATAAAGTGGGACCAGAAACATATTAATCACTGCAATAATGTGTGTGTGTGTGTCATAATAAGTATTTAGCAGTAGTTGAATACTAAATGTCTTGCCTTTTTTGCAGTTCTTTATCTGTGGCCTTCTTTATATACTGTCTGAACGCAACCCCTCTAAAAAGATAGTAAGTGTCTGTTTAGCCACTCACTGTTTGTGAGATACTCATGCATAATTCTGAGAATTCTTGTGTCCTAATTACAAAATTATGTCCATTGAATGTTTAATTGCATGTGATATTTTGCTTTTATGTTCGTGTCTTCTGGTTTGATTGCTCACAGATCACAGCCAGCCTGGCTCTGAATATCATCTCAATCATTGGAGTGCTGTCTGCTTTGGTGGAATTCTCCAGAGCAATTGTTGGAATCTATCACATACATGGGTATCAAATGTATGAGAATGACACAGAGGAGGAGGAACTTCATGCCAGACAACATTATGTGAGGGTTTTTATTATAATTATTAAATGAAAAACATGGTTATGAGGAATATAAATCAAGATATGAGGGTGATAGAAGGGTGTATTTTCAACCAATGAGAGATTATGCATGTGCAGCTTTAATAGATTTAAAATATATAGGTAGTTGACAAATAGGCAGTAAAAAATGCTTATTTTGTAAAAGACCATTTTTGAAGAAGAAATGCATATATTTATGTAGTGTGAAGTCTGATCTTTGAGAAAATATAAAGGGTCACTAACTTCGTCAATTCTTTCATTGTTTTTTTTTTTGCATTTTTACTGAACTGTACCATAAATGTGTCCTATGGTGTGACATAGCAAAAATTAAGAATAAACAAAAAAAACGTAACAATATATAAATAGCATGATAGAGATTTATCTTCATTGTTAGACGCTTATTTTCATATAGTGTTATTTATTTAATATTAAATTATAATTAACATATTTTTTTCCCCGTGACTTTTTGGACAATTTCAGGACAAACTTTGACAACAAGACAAACTTTGCTGTCATCCGTTCAAAACGGCTGAATTATTACAATACTCAACTGTTTTTTTTTAAGATATTTTGAGATAAAAACAAATCTGGGGTTCTTTCATGTGTGTCACACCATAGGACATTACGTCACACTAAAGGACAGAAATGGTAGTTATTAAATCATTTCTATTTCATTTTGAACATTTCAAAGGAGAAAGAAAGTTTAATTTTGATACAAACAATATCAATATGCATTTTAAACAACAAAAATAATTTTCTTCAACAAAAGTCCGTCTCTTAGTCAATCAGGATGTTACTGAAACTTTTCTAGCCCCCTGCTGCATGTGTGGCACAGCTAAATATGATAGATATTCAAACTATATTCATTAAGATGTGAATGGATTTTTTAAAAACTATATCTTTTTAAATCTATTTACTTTCTGCATCGTTCTCTTAGGATCTCCTCCCTCCTGCGTGGATCCCTGTTAATGTTCTTTCTATATTTCCATGTCCTCTCTCTTCCAGTAATTTCTCTCCCTCAATTCTTTCTGTTACAAAAACAAATTGCAACATTTTATACTTATTTTCATGACACTTTATAACAGTACAAGTTTTCTGCAAAAACATCAGAAAATAGTTTAATTAATGTAATTATTGCATTTAAGAACACTGGAAATGATCAAAAAAGAATAAAAAGGAGTAAAACAAATCTTATTTAATTATTTAAGACGCTTTTTAAAGAGACCTTGTCCTATGGTGTGACAGTACAGGCGTCACACCGGAGGACATTTTCTGTCACACCATAGGACATTTCAGCCTTTTTCTGTCAATTAATGGCCTTGCTATTCCGAGCTAACCTGTCATTAGCAGTTAGCAAGACACATTTGCATATTTTTCCATGATTATGTAGTTTAACATACAGTTTTTAATTTAAAAAATATATAATTTAAGGGTGTCACACCAAAGGACAACAAAACGTAACACTTTTGTAGTGGTTCCAAAAACGTTAAATATTTGAACAATTCTGAGACAGAAATTGACCATGTGCACATGTCATGGGCTTCACAGGGGCCTTCAGTAACATAATCATGAATGGGGTCCTTCAACTAATGTAATTTACACATTTAAAATCAGGATATGGTGTCACACCATAGGACATGGTTTTCAGAGACAAAATATATCAAGTTCCTACACTTTCAAAAATATACAGATGAAAAAAAAGATTGCCATTTACTAAAATAGACACTTGTACAATTATGTCGGAGGTATTTATTAACATGTTTATGTTTTTCTTTTTAATTTATAAAAGTTGTAATTTACTGAACCATGCTTGAGACAGTAACACCATAGGACAATTTTGAGATTTTGCTCAAAAATGTAAAAAATCTAATAACACTGCAGCTTTTATAACAACAGGTCCATGTAGGACAAAGAAATGTTTAATGATTTACTGCATTTTAAATAACGACAATCTTAATTATATTCATTTTTATCTTGTGGGACAGTGAAAATGCCATGTCACGTCACCAACCCACATACCGATACAAACAAAAACTCTAATTTCATTTTCACAGATGTCCATCAGAGACATGGAGCTGGTGTTCTGCTGTCACAGCTTGATAGGAGGCATTCTGCTTGTAACCATGACGTTCTTCGCCAGGGCAGCGCTGCGATCCAGCAGGACTCAGGTAATCTCACTTCACACAGCCTTCCTCCAGTGAAACCACCAAAGGCTCTATGGTTGGGCTGTAGGTCTTTTCAGATTGGGTTACGTATAGCAGGAGAAAAAGAAAATTATGTTAAATTCAAATAACAAAAAATGAAAGAAATTAACAATATCGTGCATTTAATAAACAAACGTTCATTTCATTTATAATATAATATATGACTCTTGAATCACAGCAAACATTGGTTAAACAGCCAGGGAACCTTTGTTTCCTACATAGTTGTGCCCATGTTCTGTCTCTCCTTGGTTTCTACAAGTAAGCCAACAAAATCATTTGAACTCACCTCAATATTCCATGTCCATTTATTTATTTATTTATTAGTAAGTAGTCATGTAACAAGTAAGATAATGTATCCTGATCACCTTGTTGGGTTTATTTAGCAATAATGACCGGCTGACTGTACATTTTCCTCATTTGTAACAGTGAAGGTAGAATGTTTATGGATGATTTCCTTATCTCTGCAGGCTGTTGTTGTAATGCGGAACCTGCCGCCAGCAGAGTGAACAAACATCCTTCTTAACGTACGTGAAGAGGAGCTGACATCTGTGGCAGCACATTAAAAAACGCCACTAATAACCAACTGTGATCTTTAAAATTGCATATAAACAGTGTATTAAATGGTAACAAAATGGGAGTAGTAGTTTTCTGTGTTATTAATACCAGTGTTTTGTACTTTTGTACTTTACATATACATAAACCCACTTATGATTTTTAAGCTTAACTGTTAGATGCTTGTGTTTGCTGTCATAGCTATGCAAAGATTTGATTTCAAAAACAGTATCATAGCTATTAAACTATGTCTTGTAATAGTATATAAAATTTTGTATATCTGTATTTAACCTCAGAACGATCTCAAAGTAAATAGAAGTGATTTTGCGGTGAATGTCAAGTCAAGTCACTACTTGCTTCCGGCTTCGCTACCGTTCGGACGTTCTTGCTTACTGCTCTGCGCTTTGCTCCCTATTTCTGTACTTTTCTCTGATTTTCCTAAGATTTTTACTTCAGCAGATCAGCACAGTGCTCAAACAACACATTTTTGGCACAGACACTAAAACTAAAAACTCTTGGGACTGGAATAATACTACAAAAAAGGGCAATTTTAGCCTCCCACTGCCAGCAGCTTACATTCCGGAGACGGGAAAGCACAGCTGTCTACATTCAAACAGACGAGAGAGAAAATGCCTCCTGTTGAATCTACTTGTTGCATGAACTGCCGCAAACTTCTACAAAGGATTGCAGTTCTTGAAACAAAGTTACTTGCTGGACTTCCAAAACAGGCAGAACACTCAGCAGACCGTCGTCACGGACCCCCTCAGCATACAGCCGGTGAGTCCCATGAACCTAGTCAATCTCAAAAGTTTATACCAAGTGTAGAGGAACAAGCCGAAACTGATCGACACACTAATCGATGGCACAAACAGGGAGCGAGACCCAAAGGCAGTAGAGACATCAGATTGCCACGAGTATCTCATATTGCTGCGATAGCATCCTCTACCCCTTATTCGGCTATGACAAGGCTTGTGAATACTGGTATTCAATACTGATATACATCTTGAGAACAGATTTGAAGCATTAAGGAATGCGGGTGAGGAATCCCCAAATGTGATTAAACATGGATCGGATCAGCCAGCAGCTAACATCGCTACTAACAGGCACTCAAGGTCGAGCAGACAGCGGCTTTCAGCTCAGAGTGCAGCCCAGCCCAGGACTCTGAAGGTGGGGACTCTATTATCAGAAACATCAGTAGCAGGACTGCAACTACATGCTGCTTTCCTCAAGCAACCGTCTCTGATGTGAATAGGGAACTCCAGAACATTCTGATGAAGCACAAGACTGCAAATCGAATCATCATCCATGTGGGGAAGAATGATATTCAGAAAGAGCAGTCAGAACTCCTTAAGAAGGATTTCAGTGAACTCTTTGAAACACTTCGAAGGCTCAAAGTTCAGTCGATCATCAGTGGACTACTCCCAGCAAGGGGAACTAACATGTTTTCAGGGTTGCTTGGACTAAACACATGGCTACAAAGATCCTGCAATATAAAACAACAATCGACAACTTCAGTCTTTTCTGGGGCCATAGACAACTGTTTAAACCGGATGGCCTCCACCCAAACAAACTTGGTGCAAGAGAACTTAAGGACAATATCTACTTCTCCCTCCGTCATCATTCAGCAGAGTGTGGCAATCCACTCAGACTGAATAGCACACACACACCTGGTCCGAGTCGTCATGTGGTTGACACATCCCACAAGGACACTGATAACACCACGCAGCCACAACAAGCACTGCTCATGGACACCATCCCGGCTGAAACACCACGCAGCCACAACAAGCACTGCTCATGGACAACATCCCGGCTGAGCCCTGCCCACAGAGCTTGTCACAGACAGACTGTGACGTATCAGAACAGCTCCAAGATTCAGCACACAAGGACAACTTTCTGGAAAACAGCTAGGGAAGCCAGGACAACATATTTCAGCCACCGGAAACACCAGAGACAGCCTATCTCACCAGACACATTATCCCTCTCTCCAGCATCTCCACTTCTAAGCTTCTCACAGAAAATGGAGGAACTTGTGTATGCTGGGACCAAACTCTCCCACTCATTTGCTGCAAGCCCCCAGATATCAACCAAAAAACGGCGGGCCCCCCAACCACCAAAGCCTGTGGGCCCAGCTCGTCCTCCTCCCCCAGTGAGAGCT